TGATTCCTAGAATGTCGACATTCACTCTTGCCATCTCCTGTTTGACCACTTCCAATTTGCCTTGATTCATGGACCTAACATTCCAGGTTCCTATGCAGTATTGCTCTTTACAGCATCGGACCTTGCTTCTGTCACCAGTCACATCCACAACTGGGTATTGCTTTTGCTTTGGCTCCATCCCTTCATTCTTTCTGGAGTTATTTCTCCACTGAACTCCAGTAGCATATTGGGCACCTACCGACCTGGGGAGTTCCTCTTTCAGTATCCTATCAATTTGCCTTTTCCTACTGTTCATGGGGTTCTCAAGGCAAGAATTCTGAAGTGGTTTGCCATTCCCTTCTCCAGTGGACCACATTCTGTCAGACCTCTCCACCATGACCTGACCGTCTTGGGTGGCCCCACAGGGCATGGCTTAGTTTCATTGGGTTAGACACGACTGTGGTCCTATGATCAGATTGGCTAGTTTTCTGTGGTTATGGTCTTAGTGTGTCTGCCCTCTGATGCCCTCTTGCAACACCTACCGACTTACTTGGGTTTCTCTTTCCTTGGATGTAGGGTATCTCTTCACAGCTGCTCCAGCAAAATGCAGCCGCTGCTCCTTACCTTGGAGGAGGGGTCTACTGTAGGTGTTCATAATGTTTGCTGGTTAAACAAAGAACAGGAGGACTTTCCTGGCAGTCCAATGGTTAGGACTCCACATGTTTCCAATGCAGGGGATGAGGGTTTGATTCCTGGTTTGGAGAACTAAGATTCCACATGCCACTGAGGGAGGCCAAAAGATAAAATACAAAGGAACAGGAAAAAAGATGGAGAGAGACAGATTGTTCCAGGCTAGGTTCTTGCCTGGAGAATCCCATGGAGAAGTCCATAGGGTCGAAAAGAGTCGAACACGACTGAAGTGACTGAGCAGGCAGTGACACAGCATGAGTAATATCTGGAAGATGAGGATGTGTAAGGAGCTTGGATGGAGAAGAAGTGGCTTGCTGTTAGAAACGAGTAAGGTCAGCTTATCAGGTCCCTAAGTACTACCTGGTTAATGCGACCTTGGCTTCCCTGGGACCGGACTCTTTTCCCCACTCCTCCATAGCCCTGTGCGTGCCTCTTACCCTAGAGCCTCAACCACGGTCGTCTTCCCTGCTGCTTCCTTTCTTCCCGACCACAGGGCCAGTTAACTCGGAACTCTTCCTGCGCCACGTTCCTGGATGGCTCCGCCCACTTTTGCGCCCCCTGGCTTGGCTGGCGCTCCGGGCACCGCGAGGGGGTGCCCAGACACCCCTGTACTGCGCTCTGCAGGAAGGCATTGAGCCCCTCAGCGGGAGGTACTTCGCCAACTGCCGTGTGGAGGAGGTGCCCCCAGCCGCCAGAGACGACCGCGCAGCTCACCGGCTGTGGGAGGCCAGCAGGAAGCTAGCAGGGCTTGGGCCTGGGGAGGATGCCGAATCGGATGAAGATTCCCAGTCTGAGGACCCGGGGACTCCATCCTCTCCAAGCAGCCCCCACCCCGAGGAGCCCACGGCTTCCGAACTCTACCCCAGCCCTCAGAATTCAACAGACAGGTCTACGGTCAAGCGCCGGATTCCGGTTAAAGCTGAACTTGAGCCTCAGGCTTGCTAACTGCCCCCCTACCCCAAGACGCCGCCCCCCACACACACACACACAGACCGGGCAGCTTTCCAGGGCACCTGGTGGGCCTTTAAAACCTTAGCGGTGTGCTGGGCCACGCACTGGGCATGGAGAGAGTTCCATTTTCGCCTCCATGGTTACTTTCCGGGGTTTCCGAGGTATGTCCTGGACAGCTCGTTTCCTGGCGGAAGGAAATAAAGGGTGATTATTCCTCCCTGAGAGGAACGGTAACCCCAGATTGAGAGGTGGGACGTTAGTATATCTGCTGCGGCTTCTCAGGAATTTGAATTTCCTATTTCCAAGCCCTACTTTCAGGCATGCCGATCGGCCCCGGAATAGGGCCTGGGAATTTGTAATCGGATGCCCGGCCAACACAGGATTATTCAGCTGGGCCCCTTTCGACCCTGTAGCTAAGTAGTTTCATTATCCGCTTTTTGCATTAGCAGTCAGGTGAGGGACTCAGCCAGATAAGGGACTCGCCCAAGGTCGCCCAGCTAGTAAGCGCAGGGGCTGAAATTGGAACCCCCAGCGGGCTGGCTCCAGGGCCGACCGCTGTAAAGTGGGAGCTGGGAGGTGGAAGGTGAGAAAGGGCAGGGCGGTGGTGATTCAGGCGCCCAGTGGGAGTCGAGGGCACGCGATGTCTACCCCGTGCAACAAAACGTGTTGACTCCACGGGTAGCGCGCAGATCGCCTCGCAGGCCGCGCCGGCCCCGCCCTCCGCCGCCACACTCTGAGGGCTGGGGGGCGGTGGGCAGTGCCGGGGGTGGGGCCTGAGTCTACGGTAGCTCCGGAGACCCCTCCCAGGAGGGACCCCCACTCTCCGTGCTCCGCTCCTTAGGGCACCGGCCAGGCGCTCCCCCCACCTCCGCGCCCTGCGTGTTTGCCCGTGTTTATTCCCTCGTTTCCTTTCTCCGCCTCCTCCTTTGGGCAGGGTCTCCCCTGTGGCCTAGAGGATCCCGAACCGAAGCCTTGGGGTTCCGGGAACACTGGCTGGCTGGATGCCAGCGCCCGGAACGAGGGTTGGGTGGGTCGCAGGTGCCTGTCTGGGGAGGGGTGGTGGACCTGGATCCTTAGGTTCTGGGCACAGATCCGTTAATTCCGAGCAGGCTGAGGCTTGCCAGGCTTTACTGACACTGCCCGCCCCGGAGACGCGGGTGCGGCCTCTACAGGTTGAGAAACCTGGCTCCGGGCTGTGTTTCTCTTGGTTGCAAAATGCTGCGGACTCCAGAATTTCTGTTGCGCTTAGGCGGGAAGGGGGCTCCGCAATGTTGGGGGAGGGAGAGAGGTCTTGCCATAAGGCTACTATTTAAATCGTGTATTTGGATGTTTTGGGAAGTGGCAGAAGCCTTTCAAGCCACCAGTTTGTGCAGCCAATGGCGCGGGTGCTGGGGAGAAGCCCGTGTTTCCCCGACAGCGAGGAGGCCTGTAGCTGCAGGAAACGCTCATATCCTACTTCCCACTGTCAATATGGATTCTCCACCTGTGCACAGAGTTGTTAGGACCAGCTGCAGAACTGAGCAGAAGAGGGTGGGCTGGACCAGGGCTTGTTGCCACCCACTTTGCATTGGGAACTTTCATGGACTTTGGTTCAGTTTGGATCTCAAAGTGATCTCTGTCCTGGGACAGGAAATCGTAAATCTCTCTGACTAGGGCCCTACTCCTGTGGGGAAATTAAGATCCTTCACTTCCCTGGCACTTCCCTGGCTGTCCAGTGGTTCGGACTCCGTGGTTTCACTGCAGTGACCCGGGGCTTGATCCCTGGTCAGGGAACTAAGATCCCGCAAGCCCTGCGGCACAGCCAAAAAAAAAAAAAAAATCTTTCACTTCCCTGAAAACTAGAGAAGACAGCATTGGGGTCGCCAGGGAGACCCCCAGAGAGCACTGAGGCCAAAGCTGCTCCTCTTCTCAGACCTGAGCCAGTCTCCCAGCCTCCACTCCTAAAGGTTTTTAGAAAACTGAATCTACATCACACTTGTATTTTTTTTGTGTGGTATTTCTCTCTAGAAGCCCAGACTCTGGGCCAAGGAGAAAAAGCTCCAGTTTTGTCTTTGTGGCAATCCTGAAACTGAGGGGCAAAAAGAACCCCTAAGACGGGCTGCTCCGTGCCTTCCAAGTTACCAGGGTACTCTAGCCAGAGGCCAAGGCAGTGCTAACTTCGAAGCTGTTTTAGGGGTGCGGCGAGGAGGCCACAATGAGAATTAAGAGAGCTGAAGTTGAGGGAGGGTGGAAGAGGAGAGAGAGAGAGATGATGCCCAGCATAATAGTACCTTGGGATTTGAGATGATCGAACTGCACTGTGGCTCTCGCTAGCATGTGGACTTCCAGTCCTGTTCCTACACCCCATTAATTGGACCTGCATCGAAGTCCAGGTGGCTTCCATGGTGGCTCAGCTGGTAAAGAATCTGCCTGCAATGCAGGAGACCTGGGTTCGATCCCTGGGTTGGAAAGATCCCCTGGAGAAGGAATGGCTACCCACTCCAGGATTCTGACCTGGAAAATTCCATGGACTATATAGTCCATGGAATTGCAAAGAGTCATGACTGAGTGACTTTCACTTTCACTTCTAAGTACAGGGGCATCTCACGAAGCCTGCTTTCAGAAGGAGGATGTTGATGTATATCATGATCATCTTTTCCACTTGAAGAGTCTGGAGGTTCTTCTTGTCTATCCTCCCTTCTTTCTGTAATACACAGTTTTTTTTTCTCTGTTTTCTACTTTTGGGGAATCCAAACACCATATACCTTTCTCTTATCTCTACAGTAGGTCAAAAATTCTTAACCTGGACTTTGTGGATAGAATTTAGAGGTCTTTGCATTTGATAAGAGGAAAATAGTACATTTTTATTTACACTAACCTAAACTGAAAGTTAGTGCTTCCTATGATTATTAATGTCGGCAACAATCCATGATAGGATTAGTAGATATTTTCCTACCATACTGCCTTTGTTGCAGGTATGGTGAAAATCATATTCCTTGCTACTTTTTTTTTTCATTGCTACTTTGATATTAAGCCTGTTATTAAATCTACCACTGGATCTTATTATTTAATAACATACATGTTACTGTGTATCACATAGCACACATATATAACTTTAAATATTTGTTTCTTATGTATCTTATTTTATGCATTTATGAACATTCAGGCTTTGCCAGACTGCTAAGGGAGGGATTTGGGCTCAAAAAATGCCCCGTGTGTGAGAGTTCCCTGATGGTCCAGTAGTTAGGATTCAGCACTTTCACTGCCCAGTTCAGTCCTGGTTGGGGAACTGAAATCCCAAAAGCCCTGCAGTGCGACCAAAAAAAAAAAAAATCTGCCTTGTAGAGTAGAGTTGTAGGTCTTCTTGACTAGTAGGAATGAAAGAGTAGAAGAGGGGCAGGAAGGAAGGGAGTGTTCCTGAGGAGGCAGACAGATGCTTGTGTTTGGGGAGGGCTAAGAGTGAGGCAGACTCTATGACGGGATATTTTGTGATCCTTCAGCTTGGTTGAGGACAGAGCAAAGGAAAGTGGGTTGGGTTAGAAGAAGTGAGATAAAATTAGGAGGATTTTCTCCAGGTCTGGAGACAGTAAGAACTGGGGAGGTCAAGGAAGGGTCACCTAAGAGTCCTCTTTTGGGAGTGGTCCCCATGGTGACCAGGAAGCTGGGAGGAAGATGCCTTCCAGGGGAGGAGGCTGCTGGGGGTGGGGCAGCCAGGCAGCCCCAGCTTCCTGTTGTTGCTACCCCTGGGAACCTGGCCATGTTACCCTTGGCTGAGGCCCAGCCTGAGCTGTGGCAGCCTGCTCCCAAGGTCAAAGAATAAGTTAAAGGTAAAAAAAAAAAGGCTACTCCCTCCAGTATTCTTGCCCTGAGAATTCCATGGACAGGGAGCCTGACAGTCCATGGGGTCGTACAGAGTCGGAAACAACTGAGTGACTAATGCCTCACTTTTCACTTCAAAGCGTGGATTCCCACCCTTGGCCCCCTCGCCCCCATCCCACCCTGCCACCACCTCCTCCCCCTGCCCCCTGAGAAGTGCCCTGGGTTGGTTGGAGAAAGCTGTGCCGCTGTGCCCCAGCCCCCACCAGGCCAGAGGAAGTGGAACAAGCTATGGTTTTTGATCCTCTTCCAGTTTCACTGGATCCCGAGATGGTTTTGGTCCTCAGAGGCTCCTCTCACCCCTTCCCCAGGGCAGAGCAGCCTGCAGTGGCTTACCTTGAGCGGCAGTCCTGTGAACAGGTGTTTCCAGAGACCTGCGACCTCTTCCTGACCCTGTTCACACTGCGGGGATGCTCCGGCTCCCTGGACCTCAGGCTCAGCTGCTTGTACACCATACACAGGGCAGACCCAGAGGACAGGGTGGGTTGCCCAGTGGGCGGTATCACTTGCCAGCTGTCTATCTTGGCAGGCCCGCCACACTTGTGGGATCTTTGTTCCTTTGTTGTTGTTTAGTCGCTTAATTGTGTCCGACTCTCCAGCCCCGTGGACTGCAGCACACCAGGCTTCCCTGCCCTTCACTATCACCTGGAGGTGGCTGAAATTCATGTCCATCAAGTCGGTGATGCCAGCCAACCATCTCATCCTCTGTCGCCCCCTTCTCCTCCTGCCCTCAATCTTTCCCAGCATCAGGGTCTTTTCCAGTGAGTCGGCTGTTCGCATCAGGTGGTCCCTCCACCTATCTAAAACTTCTCTCCAGTTCACGATTCTACTGTCTCTGTTTGGTTGTTGGCCTGACCACCCACCCAAACCCTGGCTCTTGACCTACACTTCCAATATGGTAGCCATGAGGCACAGGTTAATTTAAGTTAATTAAAATTCATTTTCTTGGTTATACCAGCCAGATTTCCAGTGCTCAATAGCATATGTCCCGAATAGCTGCTTTGTTGCACAGCACAGCTGTGGAACATTTCAATCCGAGAAGGACGTTCTCTTGGATAAGACTACTCTAGTAGTTACCCCCCCATGTCAGCCACTGTGTGTGGCCTAGGTCACTGCAAGAGGCTGCTTCTCCCCAGCCTCCCTGACCCAGGTATCTTTCTCCTTGTGCAAAGTGGGGTTTCTAAAATGCAAATATAAGTGTGGTTTCTTAGCTTAAATGACTTCCCCATCACTCAGGCACATACACACAGTACCCCTGCTTGGCCCAATACCTACAGTACTCTGCAGTCTGTCCTCTGCCCTTCTACCTGGCTTTGTCTCCTGCCATGAGGCCTCAGAGACACTAACCCAGCTACACAAAACTACCCCTGACCTTTGACCTTGGGAGGCA